CACTCATTTTGTTGCTGTCTCGTTTGCTTTTTTGTTTGTTTGTTTGTTGTAAGGCAATTGGGGTTAAGTGACTTGCCCAGGGTCACACAGCTAGTAAGTGTCAAGTGTTTGGTCTGAGGCTGGATTTGAACTTAGATCCTCCTGACTTCAGGGCTGGTGCTCTGTCCACAGCAGGGGTTCTCAGCAACTGCCTTTCAATATAATCAACTTCCTTTGTAATCATATGAAATTTATTGTATGCCTTTAAATACATGATTCTGAGAAGGGGTCCATAGGTTTGATCCATAGGTTTCACCAGATTACTACAAGAAATCCATGCCACAAAAAAAAAATTAAGAACCCAAGATTTGTTGTGTCTGTCCAGTTTTGGCAATAAGTAAGTGTTTAATAGATGCTTGTTGACTGACTTAATAAGCATTTATTGAGCATCTACCAAATCCTAGGCGCTGGAATTATGAAGACAAAATTAGAGCAGCCCAAGATATGTGCCAGAAGAAAAAGCTCTATAGTTAGGCCATGCAACTATATCTGTCTGGACAATAGTCATTCTTCATCTACTTGATTTTTTTGTAGAAATAGTCGAGCCAAATACTTGACTAATTATGGATCTCATTTATGAGGCTCTGCAGTGTTTGGGGGCTTTATGTCTTCAGGCCAACACCTTCAGCAAATAGAAATCTCTGGAGTAGAGGTGTCAAATATGTGGCTGACAGATGGTAGATTAAAATGTATTTGAGAAATATTTAACACAATGAAAATGCTGTAGAATGTAAATAATGTTAATGTTATTTTCTAAGTTATTATGAGACCTGTAGGGATCCATTTGACACCACTGGTTTGGAGGACCTCACCATCTTTAGGGAATTTTTAAGACTTTCTGTTGGATATATCTCCATGATGGTGGCAGATAGCTTCTTTTACATGCCACTTGATATTAATGATCAGAGCATTGTTAAAAGTATTCTGTTTTCTCCTTCAGGGAATCTTGGATGATTTTGAAATGTGTTGGGAAACACTTTGGAGAGATTTTGAGATGGTGTTTTGCTCTATTGAGTAAAATTTTTTTTGTCTTGAACAAGTATTGTGGTATCTTGTATTCTCTGTGTTTTCAGTCAACTATGGGACCATAAAAATGTCAGTTGTAGAATGTTTTCAAAAGCCTCCTTGTTCCCTTTTCAGATCTTAATCAAAGGTTCCTACAATGTATATGTAAATTCCTCTAATTTCAAATCTACATATTGTTATTAACATTCTACTGCATATGAATGGCTTAAAATTGTGAAGAAGTAATCCTAGACCTAACAAAAACCCTATTGGTTTTGACCTGTATCCAGAAAAGGTTTATGCCCTGGGCTCTTAATTGGTTATTGGGGAGGAAGAGATGTTAGTGCAGTCAACCCAGAGAGGAAAGCTAAGCTTTCTGGGTTCACATAGGTTGAGTCTCTGAGAAAGGTACCAGTGATGTCATGGTGTTTCCCAGCCTCTGAACCTGTTCTCAGAGGTTCAGAACCAGACTCTCAAAAGGTCACTGGAATAATCTTGCGCAAGCCCCCGTAACCTCTCACAGCCTCAGTTTCTACATCTGTATAATGAGGAGATTAGACTAGATGAACTCTAAAATCCTTTTCAGCTCTGAATCCTATGATTAGGGCTAGTCTTCCATACAGCTTTCAAAATAATCTTTTTTAAATTTTACATTATTTTTCAGTTTACTAGCATTTATTTTCTCTTTCCCATCCATGCGCCAGCTTTTTTAAATATTTATTTTTAGTTTCCAGTATTCACTTTTATAAGATTTTGAATTTTAAATTTTCTCCCACTCCCCAAGATAGCATGCAATCTGATATAGGCCATACATATGTACAATCATATTATACATATTTCCACATTAGTCATGTTGTAAAGAAGAATTTGAACCAAAGGGAAAACCCATAAGAAAGAAAAAACAAAAGGAAAAAAGTATGGTTCAATCTGCATTTAGACTCCATAGTTTGCTTTTGTTTTTGTTGTTTTTAGCGAGGCAGTTGGGGTTAAGTGACTTGCCCAGGGTCACACAGCTAGTAAGTGTCAGGTGTCTGGTCTGAGACTGGATTTGAGCTCAGGCCCTCCTGACTCCAGGGCTGGTCCTCTATCCACTGCGCCATCTAGCTTCCCCCGCGCCCCCCTTCTCCCCCCCAGTTCTTTCTCTGGATGTGGATAGCATTTTCTATCATGAGTATTTTGTAATTGTCTTGTAAAAAACTCAGTTGTGTGCGAAGCACAGAAAACAAGGTATGCTTGTATTGACCTAATAGAGCTATTGCTTGGTCAAAGGATATGCACAATTTAGTGACTTTTAGGATGTAGTAAACACCTTGAGGGTAGGGATTATTTTTCATTTTGTCTGTCACCAGTAAATACTCACATCAGTACTTCAGTGGTCTGTGAATCCCTCAGTATGGGCATTCTTTCTGATGATGTAGATCATAATCCATCTCTGACTGCTCATCAATTCTTGTTCGTGATTTGCAGTAAATTAGGGGACTACTCCCATGTGCAGCCTTCCTCCCATTTTCTTGACATCATACGGATACAAATAGGGAATATGAGATGGCTCTTAGTTAACTCTTGCTCTGTGACCAGCCTATCTTCTTTTTGGTTATACATTTCTTTAATATCCATTAATTACATCACTTCTTTTGAGTAATTCCTTGAGTAATTTGTAACATATTGCAGTCTGTCATTCTCACCATGTTCCTTTCCATTATTGTTTAGATGATTCTCAGCATCATTCCTTGGAGCCATACAATGTCACTGGAAGGATATTGATGTTAAAAAAGGTGAACATTTGCTTCTGGGAGAAGCTGATTCAGGAAGAGATGGTCATTAAAAGAATTGGTCTACCATACTCTACTTATTGAAACTTTTCTCTTCTTCCCTTTCACAATACAGTACTTTCATTGTTCTCTTAACTTTCTCTCTGCTCCCTCTCCAGTCTACTTTGCCAGCTTTGCATTTTCCTTCCAGTATTCAAAACTGGATGACCCTGAAGAGTCTGTCCTTGGCTACCTTCTCTTCCTTGGTAATTTTATTTTCATAAATGACTTCATTTATTATATCTTTGTAAATGACTCCCAAATGTAACTAGCTCTAGCTTCTCCTCACAGCTTCAGGTCACATATTTATAATATTTCTGTCTTATATAGCTCCTCCTGGATATCCTGCCAACATTTCCAGTATAGCTTGCTTAAAGCTAATCCTCCTCCCTATAGAACATACCTTCTCCTAACATCTTTTACTTTCTGTTGATGGTACCAGTCCGCTAGGCTTCTTACCTCGGTCAACTCTTCCATCTACTTTATCCCTTCACATTTAATGAGTTACCAGTTTCTATCAATGCAGTTTCCATGATATATCTACTGCCACCACCCATCTCTGTCTATATTATCATATGAGCCACTTCCCTGGCCCTTGTCTTTTCCTTCTCCAGTCTATCCTAGTGCTGTCAAAGTATTATTCCTAATGCACATTTCTTTACTGTACTACTTCTTGCTCAAAAACCTTCATACTTTACTGAATAAAATATAAAAGCACCATAGCATGACATTCACAGCCATTTATAATATGACCCCACCCTACTTTTTCTGTCTTCTTGTGCTATACCATTTCCTTTCAGGTATTTTGTTTTCACACTAAACTTGGTTACTCATCACCCCTCCTCCTTTTTGTCTCCTTTCCTGCCATCTCTAAGTGGGATCAAATGAGATAATGTTTGCAGAGTGCTCAGCACAGCGCCTGGCACATGTTAGGTGGGTAATAAATGCTTGTTCCCCAATGATTTTTACAGCCAGTGTCTCTGATAAAGACCTCTAAAATATATAGAGAACTGAATCAAATTTATAAGAATACAAATCATTCCCCAATTGATATATGGTCAAAGGATATGAACAGACAGTTCTCAGATGAAGAAATTAAAGCCATCTATAGTCATATGAAAAAATGCTTTAAATCACTATTGATTAGAGAAATGCAAATTAAAACAACTCTGAGGTCCCATATCACACCTATTAGATTGGTTAACGTGACAAAACAGAAAAATGGTAAATGTTGGAGAAGATGTGGGAAAAAATTGCAACACTAATGCACCTGGAAAGACTTACATGAATTGATTGTGAAGTGAGCTGAGCCTGGAGAACATTGTACACAGTAACAACAACGTTGCGCAATGACCAACTTTGATATACTTGCTTTTTCTCGGCAATGCAAGGATCTAAGACAACTCCAGAAGACTCATGATGGAAAATGCTGGATATCATTTCTCTGGATATGTCCAGAGAAAAAACTGTGGAGTCTGAACGTACATCAAAGCATACTGTTTTCTCTTTTTTTTTCTTCCTTGTGATTTTCCCCTTTTGTTCTCAATTTTCTTTCACAACATGACTAATGTGGAAATATGTTTAATATGATTGTATGTGTATAGCCTGTATCAGATCGCATGCCGTCTTGGGGAGGGGGAAAAATTTAGAGCTCAAAATCTTATCAAAGTGAATGTTGAAAACTAAAAATAAATAAATAATTGCTTGTTCCCTTCTTTTCTACATCTTTGCTCATACCATCTAATATATCAGGTACAAATATCACCTGTCCTGTCACCTATTGAAATCTCTCCCTTTCTTCCTAGATTATTAGCTCCTTGAGGGCAAAAGCTATTTCCTGTTGCATCTTTTTCTGCAACACTGGATGCTGGTGATACAATATATTCTTACATTTTAAAATGGAATTGAATGAAGTGTAATGTTTCTGTGTAGCTATAGATTTGATCATAGAGGAAAAGGTAATATATTTTTTGTTACTGAACAAATTGATTAAAAATAATATATGTGTATATATACATACATACATACCTACCTTTTTTTTTAAGACTGGCAAAAATATATAAAGATAATCTTTGATTAAGTGAAACCAGATGTTACTTGATGTATAGAAACTAATTATAATCCTTTTGTCTTCTTTGGTCCTAGGGTTTTGACCCACCACATCAGAGTGACACAAGAACAATTTATATAGCAAACAGATTTCCTCAGAATGGCCTTTATACTCCTCAAAAATTTATAGATAACCGAATCATATCATCTAAGGTAAGTATCAACAAATACATTTTTTTAAAGTGTAGATCTGTAGCACTTTATTTTATTTTGTTTGAAATATTTTAAAATTTAAGAAGCTTTCATTTCTTCTTCTACACCTACCTATCCTTCATTGGAAAAAAGAAAAAAACCCACCAAATTCTTGAAAGTAATATGCATAGTCAAACAAGTCATTCATTCCTCTGGCCACATCCAAAAATATATGTCTCATTCTGCACATGACTGAGTGCTTATCTACCAGTAGGTAGCAAAGCATTTATTTTTGAAAGAGGGGCAGCTAGGTGGCGCAGTGGGTAGAGCACTGGCCCTAGAGTCAAGAGGACCGGAGTTCAAATCCAGCCTCAGACACTTGACGCTTACTAGCTGTATGACTCTGGGCAAGTCACTTAACCCTGATTGCCTTACAAGAAAGAAAGAAAGAAAGAAAGTTAGTGTGTCTTCTGGTACAAGATATGTATTTATATTCTTAGTAACTCAGGTGAGTAATCAGCTCATCTTAGTAAACATCCCCTTCAAAAGGTAACTTGTCCATTTATAATTTGAAATAAGATATTAAAAATTGTATTAGTTGGATGTGGATAACATTTATGACAGTACCAAAGTACTGTTTCACTCCTTTGCTCTGTGCCTTTCTTATTTCTTATGTCAGGGACACAGCATAGCATGGATATGGGCATCATGACATCATGGTAGACATCATGAGGTGCATTTGGAGGAGCAAGCCTCTTCATTCCTCTGGGCTTCATTGGGTTTTCTCAATGAAATACTCTAGTCCTAGGTTAAGAGCAGGGAAGTGAGATGGGAAATCCTAGACCTGATCAGATAAAAAGTTAGACCTGACCAGATAAGCTTTCTGTGGGACTGCGTGCAGGCTGCAAATAGGATAGATCATTTATGAAAAAGTGCAGGAAGTCAATGGGGACTGCAGCATACTTCTTAGATATCCAGATACCCTCTAGTCCTGCCATGATTATGGGAGTATCAGTATCTGCCCTCTATTCTATTTTTAATGATGAGTGGTATGAGCACAACAGTAATGGCTTATATTTATATTGCACTTGATAATTTCCAGTGATTTTCTCATAGCAACCTTGTGAGGCAAGTAGTATAAATATTATACTCCCCTTTGGCCCTTTTACAGATCTAGAAACTAAGGGTCAGAGAGATTAAATGGTTTGCCTAAGGTCATATAGGTTCTGAATGACTGAGCTAGAATTCAAATCCCAATTATTATGATTCCAAGTCCATTGTTCTTACCACTGACCACTCTGCCATAGTCCCTTTCATAAAAACAGCATGAAAGTTCAGGTGTTTTAGAAGATACTTAGAAGTTGTCTATTTTATGTTGTGTTTTTTGGGGGTTTTTTCTGGTAAAATTACTCTTTGACCATCCTAGAAAGATATATTTTCTTTCTTTAAAAAGTTTTACTGATGCCTTTTGTTTTTAACTCAACCTTTTCTTGAATTCCACATGCCATGTCTCTCTCCATCTCCTTCCACCTCCTTTGAATGCTCTCTTTTAACAAAGAAAAGCAGTTAAGCCAAAACACCTGATACTGCGTCTGACAATGTATACAAAATTCTGCCCCTAGTCATTCTTTGTTCCTTTCCTGTGAGGTGGAAAGAATGTTTCATTCTTCTCTGGGGCCATATATACTGACAATGAAGTCAAAGTCAGAAAAGATCCGTGTATATAAACGCATTGGTAGCAGCACTTTTTAGCTAGCCGAAAACTGGGGGTGAAAAGGTAGGTGCCCATCAGTTTGGAAGAATGGGAGAACAAATTGTGGCACATAAATGTAATGGAATAATTCTATGCATAAGAAATGGCAAGCATGATAAATTCAGAGAAAATACAGACTTATGAACTGATAGAGAATGAACTAAATAGAATCTGGAGGACAACATAAACCTTGACTGTAACAGTGTAAACAGAATAGAAAAATGAAACTGAGCCCTAATTAATTTTAATGGCCTGACTCAGAAAAGAGTTTGGGAAAATGTACCTCTCTAACTTATTTGCAGAGGTAGGGGGGGCTATATGAGTGTGGAATATTCCATGGAATGTCAGCTACCCATTTTGACTGGTTTTATTGAAATACTTTAAAAGATGGTTCATTGAGGAGGGGAGAGGGAAGGGATGTATTCATACATGAATGGGATACAAAGAAAAGTCATCCATTAAAAAATAATATTGAGGATCTATTTCTATGCTGCTTTTACAATAGTTTTGTTTAATATTTAGCCTGTGCCTTTTTTAAGAGGAGGGAAGAAGGCAGGTGGAATTTGGCACATATAAAGCAAACAAGGGGGATTGGGACAACAAACTAGAGTTTGTATACAGTGCTGTGTTAGATGTCGTCATGGCTAGAGTGTTTATGGAATTGAGAGCTTTTACTTGGGGAGAAGAAGGAGACTCACTTGATGATGTTACACTTAGTTGTGAAACTTCTTCAGTCAGTGAAAGAAGCTGTAGGTTGTGTGTTGATTATTTTCAAGTAATTAGAAATGCCCTTCCTAAATTGAAGTGAACATGTGAAGTGATTGAGTAGGAATGAATTGGTCAAGTAAACAAGTATTTATGAAGAGCCTTCTATATACCAGCACTGTGCTAAGTGATGAGAATACAAAGAAAGGGATGGGGGGAAACACCCCTTGCTCTTGAGGCGCTCAGTCTAACAAGGGACCAGCATGCGAACAACTATGTAAAAACAAGATAAGTTACAGATGATCAATCATGGGAGGACACTTAACAATGAGTGGGATCAGGAAAAGCTTTTTGGAGAAGGAGGCATTTTAGCTGGAAAAGTCAGGGAAGTTAGGAGGCACAGATGAGGAGGCACTGAGCACAGCCGGTAAAAATGCCTGGAGTCAGGAAATGGAGTGTGTTGTACAAGGCATAGGAAAGAGGCCAATGTCACTGGATTACTGAGTGCATGAGCAGGAGGGGAGAAGAGGAAATAAGGTATAAGAAGCCCGGAAAGGTAGGAGGAGGGGAGCCAGATCTGGAAAGCTGTAAAAGCCAAACAGAATTTTAAGTTTGAGCCTAGAGGTGATAAGGAGCCACTTGTTATTATTGAATAAAGGGGATGGGGTGATGTGGTCCGACCTGCACTTTAGGAAGATTAGTTTGATAGCAGTATAGAGAATGGACTAGAGTGAGGAGAGACTTAAGGCAGGGAGATTTCCCTGAATGTTATTGTAATAGTTCAGCATGAGGTGATGAGGGCCTACACTGAGGTGTAGGCAATATCAGGGGAGAGAGCTGTTGTAAAGGTGCGATCTGTAGTACTTAAGAACAGATTGGATATGGGGGGGTAAGAGGAGTGAGGCCTTGAATATGACATTTAAAGTTGGTGGTGACTAAGCCTTGGGTGACTGGGAGAATGGTGGTACCCTTGACAATAATGGGAAATTTACGAAGAGGAACAGGTGGAGGAGAAAGAGATGATGAGTTCTGTTTTAGACGTGTTGAATTTAAGATGTCAGTGGATTATCCAGTTTGACATGTCCAGTAGGTTAAGAATCAGGTTGATAAAAAGAACCAATTACGTACAAGACACACAGAAGCAAATAAACATAGTAGAATAGTATTTGATAAATCCATAGACCTAAGCTACTAGGGTAAGGACTCACTGTTTTCCAACCTTTTCATCCCTTCTCAAACCTCTTATAGCTTTTCTTCTCTTCAACTGTCTCAGCTGAAAGCCTTGCCTCATATTTCACTGGAAAAAATTGAAGCCATTCACCATGTCCTCCCTTTTTCCACTCCTCATTTCACATCACTCAGATGCCTTCTGGTACTTTCTCTTCTTTTACCCCTTCTCCCATGAAGAAGTGGTCCTTCTCCTTACAAAGACTAATCTGTCTACATGCACGAGAGAGCCCATTTTATGTCTTCTCCAGCAGATTGCCCCTTTTGTCACCCCACTTTCTTCACTAATCTGGTTTCTGTCTACTCATTGCTTCTTTACTGCCTGCAAACATGCCAATGACATCTCTATTTTCTTTTTTTTATTAATTTATTTTTAGTTTTCAACATCACTTCCATAAGCTTTTGAGTTTTAAATTTTCTCCACCTTTTTTCCCTCCCCTCTTCTCAAGATGGCATGCATTCTGATATAGGCTCTACGTATACATTCTTATATTAAACATATTTTCACATTAGTCAGGTTGTAAAGAAGAATTAGAATGAATTAGGAGGAACTATGAGAAAGAAGAAACAAAACCAAAAAAAAGAGAGCAAATAATATGCTTCGATCTGCATTCAGACTCCATAGTTTTTTCTCTGGATGTGGATAGCATTTTCCCTCAGGAGTCTTTTGGAGTTGCCTTAGATCCTTGTATTGCTGAGAAGACCTAAGTCTATCAAAGTCAGTCACTGCACAATGTGGCTGTCACTATGTACAATGTTCTCCTGGTTCTGCTCACTTCACTCAGCATCAGTTCATATACGTCCTTCCAGGTTTTTCTGGAGTCTGCCTGTTCATCATTTCTTATAGTATTCCATTACATTCATATACCACAGCTTGTTCAGCCATTCCCCAATTGATGGGCATTCCCCAATTTCCAATTCTTTGTCACCACAAAAAGAGCTGATATAAATATTTTTGTACATGTGGGTCCTTTTCCCATTTTTGTGATCTCTTTGGAATACAGCCCTAGAAGTGGTATTGCTGGTTCAAAGGTTATACACATTTTTATAGCCCTTTAGGCATAGTTCCAAATTGCTCTCCAGAACCAGCAATGCGTTAGGGTTCCAGGTTTCCCACATCTTCTCCAACATTTATTATTGTCCTGTTTTGTCATGTTAGCCAATCTGATAGGTGTGATGTGGTGCCTAAGAGTTGTTTTGATTTACATTTCTCTAATCAATAGTGAGATCACTACTAGAACATTTTTCATGTGATTATAGATAGCTTTAATTTCTTCATCTGAAAACTACCTATTCATATCTTTTGACCATTTATCAATTGGGGAATGACTTGTGT